CCCCAAAACCCCAAAACCCCAAAACCCCAAAACCCCTTCCCAAAAGCCTTATTTGAAACCTTATGAAACAGAGTAAAACCGTATTTGACCAATCTTTTTGAATAACTTAGAAGTAGTCAGCATGTGGATGGAAGAAGCTCTTCTTATTGCTATAAGCATACCTCGAAGCAGAAGATCTAGAAGTAGTACCACCTCTTTTTGTACCTGTACTCGCCTTTTTAGTACCTTTACTAGCAGCCTTTGGAGCTGCCTTGATAGCCCTTGTTGTATTAGACTTACTTGAAGCAGCTCTACTGCCCTTTTTGCTGATAGAGTATGTAGTCTTGCTCACTACTGTTGTCTTATTTGTTACTGTCATTTTCATGTAAGATGATTTGCTTGACTTTGCCGATTTGCACATTTTAGAAGTCCTACTTTTCACCATAATTAATGCTTAATTTATAGCCAAATAATGGGAGGTTTATAAATCAACGATTTAATACGCACAACCAAAATTACACATTAAGATGGACAATCACCTAAAAAACTTACTTCAGAGAGTCTCTGGAGGTCAATCTCAAGATATTCAAAGTGCGCAACTACCATTAAACCAAGCCGTCCAAAGCCTGAGAAAGCCACCTAAAGAAGAAACAAAAGAATCAGAAGAAAAAATAATTACTGAAGTTTGCAAGCAGAAATCTAAGAAAGATGATACATAGCAGCTCAAGTATTACCAGATTACTCAAGACTGGATCTGCCATCCTGAAAACTTGTTGTTATCCAGCAATAATATCAAAGAAATGAGTAAAATCATGTCAAAAGCAGGATATAACACCAAAAGCGGGGAAGATTTCATCATTTTACTTGACACCATGTTGAGAAAGAACACCAGCTTCTCAGATAACAAAATCTGAAAGACGGTCATCAAACTTCATCAAGGTCTTATGAAGAAGGAAGAGGAGCCTCCACAGACTAAGCTGATATTTTCACAGAAGGAGGAACTTCTAGTGTTTCCTTCTAAAGAATCTCAAAAGAAACTGGAAGATTACATCAGCTTGGCTAGTAAAGAAATAAAAATTTGCGTCCATCAATTCACAAGCAAGCAGTTATGGGCTCTTATTCAAAAATTGTTGTATGACAGAGTAAAAGCCAAAATAATCACAGATAGAGACTCCAAAGATATATTTGAGCAGGTGGGAATTTCTCTTCAAGAATACAAAGACTTTGGTGATTATATCACCATCAAGAAACTCCCTAAACTACCAAACAGTAAACTGAACCACAGATTCGCAATCATCGATGACAGAATTGTGCTTAACGGTAGCTTCAACTGGACTGGAACCACCCAGTCGACAGACTTGGAAAACATAGTTGCAACCACTTCTGAGAAGATGATCTCCGGCTTTACCACCTTGTTCAAAGAGTACTGGAAGAGAGCTGAAACCCAGCCAAAGAGCATCACTTTTGGGAAACCTTAAAGATAAAACACTAATTTGGTTAATAAAATCAAAAATTTAGAAAATCATTTTAACAAATGCTTAAAAAAGACAGAAATTCGAAATGATCCAACAGAATTTTAGTAAACTCAAAAATGCTTTGGCGTCTGCATTTATGAAGAAAATCAACAAGTTGTACTCTGGTGGAGATTACAATTTGGGAGTTCAAGCTATTCCTGATAATGATAAACATTTGTTGAGGGATTCTGGTTTCACAACGGATCGGTCTACTTTGGGATCTAGCAGAGTCCATGAAGAGTCAAAGAACATTGGTGACTCACAAGAGATGAACCACGATAACTTACTTCAGCTGAATGCAGGAAGGAAGTGGACTCAGGAAGAAGACCAACTCCTGATGGAAGGTATAGAGATGTTTGGACACAGGAATAGCTGGAAATCGATTTCTAATCATGTCAAAACAAGAACTCCACATCAGTGAGCTGCTAGGTTTAAAACCACCCATCCTGGGCTCAGGAAAAACAGGAAGAAGTGGGCATACGAAGAAGATTTATTGCTGATAGATGTTATGTTAAACAAAGACATTGAAAATTATCCACAAGCAGAGCCCTACTTTAATGACAAATCAAATCGTGCAATTCAACGTAGATGGCTGAAATTAAACGGTTGGTATACCGACGAACTACCAAATGAGGAAGAAATTTTGGTTTACTCATACCTTAGAGAAGACCAAGATAACAAAACCATTATCAAAGCCTTCAAAGGATTCACTCGTAACGAACTAGACAGAAATCTCAGAAAAAAAGCTCAAACCGATTTGTGAAGAATGGATCTCTCTGTATGTCGCTAAGATCTCCGATCCTTCTGTTGAACTGATGGCGACACCCAACAAGATCAAAATGTCGAACCATGGCCTCCGGTCAATCAAGAATTGTGGGACTAGCGAGTTAGACCAGTTCATCCCAAAGTACCGTGAGTTGACTCTTCCCAAACTAGGACTCACAGAGGACAAACTATCTGAGTTACTAGAAAAGTATCTGACAAGAAGTGAAGAGTACACTGTAAAACCATTGGCTGCACTAAATGAAGTCAAGGAAGAACAACCATAAGAGCCCTCACTAAACCACTAAGCCTAAATTTTCAATAAATGTTTAAAACAAAGGGGTTTTGGGGTTTTGGGGTTTTGGGG